TAGCCGTGCAGGTCTACACTAGTAATTCTCTGCAGCGAAAAAAGGCGAGGAGAGGGGGCTCACCCCACACAATTTATCACTGCATTGCCATTCTCTCTCTGAAATATCAGCCTATTAAAACATTCATTGAGATGATTAAACTGCAATAAAATCTAACAAAATTTCCAATGACACTTTCAGTGCATGATTTATTAGGCCGAGGCATGGCATGTGCTTCTCGGACCGGATAAACACACAGAGAAGAAAGATCAGATGCTGCTGCCACCTGTTGGCAGACGGTGAGCTGGAGAGAGTTCACTCAGGTTTTTCAACAGAATCTAGACTGAAATAGAGCAAAGTATTGACATTAAAATGACTATTTGATGCATTTTGTCTTTTTTTTCTGATTACTTTTTAACACATTAGTTTTAATACCGTTCAAGCAATGCCAAGTGAGTAAAGACTTGTTTTCAAAATATACAATTTTTGTTAAATTCATGTTTCTTTGATATTTTGGATACTATTTCACAGTCCATTTTTCAGTTTTATAATTTTATATTATGTTTCAGTGTTTGTTAATATTAGTAAGTGTTAATAATTTTTCTGAAATTTCTGACACCAAAGATAGAACCAACACCAAACTATATGTTCATTACTGATTACTCTGACAATTATTAATGGATTAATGGATTAAATGTTTGGTCACTAAAGCCTAAACTGACATATTCAGACTTTTTACTGTTATAAACTAACAAATCCAGTAAATATTCATATTTGCGAAGATGAAACCAGTGATATTTCTTTGCTTAAAAAGTGAAGATGTTTTTATATATACATATGTATTTTTGCCGATTGACTAATCAGTTAATCTACTAATTCAGCTCCAAGACAAAGACGCCCCAGTATGATCATTCTGTCTTACTGCTTATTAAAATGACAAAGATACTTAGTCACAAGTTGCAATATGTGGAATAAATCATGAATGGGGAATTAGGCAAAACTTGCCATGAATATTAACTTTATCGATAGATAACAAAGGCAACAGATTGTTACAGGTTGAAAGAGAAGAGAAAGTGTTGGAAAGACAGAAATAAGTGTATAGGGCATTAGGTAAAAGGTTTTGGAATGTATAGTTAATATGCAGCTTCATATGTCAGAGTAGTTTCATTATGCAAATTTTAATTACATGTAGCATTTTGGAAACAATTTTGCAATCTTTGAGAACTGTGTTACAGTATATGTCATTACCTAGCAACCTACAGTATATGTCACATAATTGGAGTGAGGGGTCAGACTGTAACAGTATATCCAGTCCACATTTCACTGCATTTGCTGAGCTGGAAGTGTTTTGTGTTGAACTAGTGTTGTATTGATCCATATGGTTTATTACAGGCTGTGCGAGTGTTAATACTGTCCGGGATGACAGGAGGGGGGGATTACCTGGAAATGGAGCTATCGATCGGGGGTTTGCCTCAGGAGAGGGCTACACGTCGCTCAACCCACCAGAGGCGCACAGTCTTGGAAAGATGTTGCACAAAGAGCGAGCAAAACAAACACCACCTGAGATGTGTGTTTATGACAAGCTGCCTTTTGTCCACAGTGATGTATCTGCTTCGGGGCTGGTGGGAAAGTGCGGTGTTAAAGGAGCAAGCTGTGGAGTCGTGACCTTCACAGACGACGTGAGCTGATGAATCCCATCAATAGCAAATCACTTAAATAATTTAAAACCTTTTAAACAATCATAATGCATGTGCTTGTTTGCGTGTAAGTGTGCTCTTGTACTTCTATCGCTGGGATGAATTTGAATTTTAGAGGCGGTGGGAAATGTTTAATAAGTGAAGACATGTTGGCCGATACCACTTTTTCAAAGACATTTTAGGGTTTAGGATTAGAATTAGGTTTAAATTATTTTAATTTAGGGATGAGTTTGGGTATATTGTTGTGATGGTTAAGGTTAGGGGCTAGAACATGCATTATGTCAATGAGGGTCCTCACAAACTCACATAGACTGTGAGTGTGTGCATTAGGGCTGGGTATCGGTACTCAACAGGAATCAAGTGAAATAGCCCATCAAGTAGTATCGAAACGTCTTCAGTCAAACAAGTCCTGCATTCGATCCTAAACTAACTAAACTACTAACTAACTAACTGAACTACTTCACTCCTGCTCTCTCATTCAAATGCAAAAAAAATCCCAAGCTGTCATCCTTCCTCTGATTATACTACTGTGTGGAGGACTTAATTAGGATGAGAAGCAATCTGATACAATTTCCCAATAATAACAGTTTTTTAAAATAAAAATGAAAATGAACAGATCACCTTGTTTGTCCATAACAACAATAAAAGTAATAATACCAATCAACTAGTATGGCTTAAACAGCTTTTTACGCAAGGTGTCAAATGAAGTACTCAATTGTTATCTGTATCACTTTAAGTGTACTAGTTTTGGTACTGGTATCATAAAACTTTAAACAACACCCAGCCCTAGTTAAGCATGTAGTGTTGCATAGTGTGTGTGTGTGTGTGTGTGTGTGTGTGTGTGTGCGCGCTTTCACATTGTCTGCCTGTGTTTCACTGCTGTAATCTCCGGCATGAGAATCACTCCAGTGTCATGGCCACATTGCTGCAAAGCTCAGCGTCTGCTGAGTGATTTAAAAAACGCTGACCCCATATTACTTCACACCATAGCCATACCGCCATACCGTCACTTGTTTCTGGAGACATACAGTGATGGAGTTCACCACATTTTTCAACAAATATAACTTGATTAGACTTTGCTTTCTCCATAAGGTCTCACAGGAAGTCCTAATATGACACAATGTGGTGTATATGGGAATATTACACATTGTATGACTACTGACTGTGAATTTAGCCTGATCTGTATCTGTAACATTTTTACATTTGTATGTTTTATATATAACACTATTGCACAAAAGTAAACAAAGGTGTTGATTCAAGCGTGTTTAGAGTCCGTAGTTTAGATAGATAACACTTTTTTGATCCCTGAGGGGAAATTCCCTTGTTACAGAAGCACAGAGGAAAAAATACATTTAAAGTACTATATGAATGACATAAAAGAAGAGAAGAAGAAATTAGAGCTGATATAAAAAAAAATGCTATGTATACATACATTACATGCTATACATTAAAATGTCTTAGGCCATAGTACCACTCCAGCATGTGTGAACTTTATAATATGGTGTAGATTATACATTATAATATAACATAATATAAGTCATGTTCTATACAAGATATGTGCAGTATATGTTGTATCCATAATATACAGTGATAAAATACTCAGCTATGAAATATATATAATGGAAATGGAATATTGCATAAAAATATAAAAGCACATCATCAGTAATATAGTATTATTAAATTATGATACAAGTAAAATAAAATAGCATTAGATATGTTACTATTTCTTATAGTATTACTCAGATAGTAATGGTGATATAAATAGGATATTGAACAATGGGCCACATTAAGCCAAAATCATCTACATTTAAAGATGTTCCTGTTATTTTGTCAACATGCCCTTTGTTATACTGTTATATCACACAGTAGTGTATTGTGTCAATTCATGCACAACAAGTAGATATCTGAACATCCGCCAGCATCACTGCCCTCTGATTATTATTATAACACTGGTGGATTGTATCGGATTACCCGCCATGCTTTAGCGATGAAGGTCATTAGTCCACAGTATCAAAGCTATTAATAAAGATCAGATGCAGAATGGTTTCCCAAGAAGAGAGGTATTGTGAGGATGTGGTACCCAGGCGTCCTCTCAGCCCAGTGGCTCCTCTCTATCACACTGCTGGCCTGTCTGCTCTGGCTCAGAAAGAGAGGTCAAGGTATGCATACGGTGTGGATATCTGTGTCTTTGTGTGTTTGTTACGGGCCTATTGTGCCATTTCATTCTGTGCTCTTATTGTGTTTGAGTGTTACTGTAATAGAGGCCTAGTCCACAGATTGCCTTAGAATCACTTGGGGAACTTTTGACATTTCATTTGGAATATATATATATGACCTGGTATATATAATATATATATACCAGGTCATAAATACACACAACGTGTTTTGACATGTTCAGTAGGGATGACTGTGCAGTTTCACGGTAATGGCAGCAAAAAATGGGGAGTGGTTCCTGTGTGTTTTATAGATAGCCGCACTGTGTCTGCATCCAGACGTCCTGTATCTATTTAAAGACAACTCCAGTAAGCTGCATGCAACAGACAAGCCTCCCACTCTCTCTGGTGTCACATTGATGCTTTTGCAGGCATTACTGTATCCCACAGTGTGCATTACATTTAATGTCACAGAGTTTATATTGAGCTTCAGATGCTTTAAGGTTTGCATGCTTGTTGTTGTATTTCTCATTTTATGTATTTTAACATTACATCATAAAAAGAGACTAAATTAAAGTAATTATTTCTGCATTCTTGGTCTTTAAATTAGCTTCACTGGCAGCGACGACGAGTCAAAACCATCCAGATACACACATAAGCCCATATCCACATCTAGGTGTAGTACTGTGCTGTATCCAATTACTCATCTCATTCAAAATTCCAGACATGAATAACAGACTAACAAGATATAATGTGGCTGCTTGTAGAAGAGGAGTCAATTAAAATGGCAATGTAACTGACAGTTGTCTCATGGAGGGTTGGGGCATTGAGTTTTCCTCCATACAGAAATTAGTTCCACAAAGAAATTACAAACAAGTACAAATTGTTTTTGTATTTTTTATTATTGACTTTGTGAGTGGGAGCCATCCTTTTATAATACCCAGAGGTCTTGTTTATGTGCGAGAAATACAACATCAGTCTTTATTGAACTGGACATATCTGACTTGTTGAATGCATAGGAGACTATTTGTGAGTTGGGGGCGGTGGGAGGTTGGGGGTTGGGGATGTTAGGACAAGATAAGGCAGGTGGGAGTAAATTAATCTGCCATGTACAGATAGAGGATGTTACATGGTAATCACAAAAGCTTTATGTAACAAAATAGACAGAGAAAATGCTAAGGAATGATGCAGGAGCATGTTTTCTTATTTTGTTGAAAAGATCCATCATGTGAGAGAGATGCTGCCTTGTACGGAGAGGGTTTTATTTTATATTAACAACTGGTGAATCAGCTACAGCCACACTACAGTTTAGGCTAGATCAGGGTAATGTGTTATGTTTCTTCTTCTTCACTTGGTGATGACCTCTCAGCATCTGAATGTGAAAGCAAGATGTCCTAGAGCTCTGTTGCAGCGGGGGATGCAGGTAAGCTAGACTGCAATTAAAGGATCACTATTAGTTTGAATATGATGTGTGTCCCTAAAGACCTAAGAGATCACCTCATCGTATGATCAATCACCTACAATTATTGTAAGGTAATTAAAAACAAAGCCAAAAAGCATGTGTATATTTGCTGCTGTACAGACTGGATTTATACCTGCTGTTGATTTGACAGCCGATAGCAATGTACAATAAATAAGGGTATGATAGCAACACTGAATCACAGTGGATGTTGACAGACTTTCATGACGCTGAACAAAAAACCCCAGACATTTGGCGTACCTGAATGGAGGTCACCATTGTGCAATCAAGGTATAACAAAATCCAACAACTAACAGCTACTTATTTCTTGCAAAGACCGCATAAAGAAGATATTTCAAACAAACCTGAGATAAAAAATAAATAGATAAATAAATGGCACTCATTGCAGAATTGTCACATGTTAAACAAATCTTTATAAAATTGAATTGGAAATCAATGTCCTTTAAATGTTTCATGAAAATAACCTTTCAACAGACTTTTGAGGATGTTGCAAAATTATAGAAATCTGCTGCTGTTTGCAAGTTCAACCAGGAAGATGTATTTTACCCCACACAGTAAGCTTATAAGCTAAATGGGGATGGATTGAAATCTGCAATATTAATACCCTGCAGAGGTCAGGGTCCATTTACTCACAGTCCTCATGCATCTTGAAATAGGAAGAAACAGTCCAGATGAGAAAAGGCGATACAATCTATAATTTAGTATAACTTATTTGAATTTAATTTAGATCATTTTCCACATATTTGTATTTGTGAGATTTATATTGAGGAAGATAAGTGTAAATAAATTACATCCACTGTGATTCAATGTTGTAAAACAGTAAAATGTGAAAACTCCAAATAGAGGAGGGGGTTTGAATACTTTTAATAGGCACTGTCTATGTGTGTGTGTGTGTGTGTGTGTGTGTGTGTGTGTGTGTGTGTGTGTGTGTGTGTGTGTGTGTGTGTGAATCTAAAAACATTTGCACAACTATGTGTGCCTCAGTGTCTGCCTCAGTGTCTGCCAAGAGGATAGTTAAGCTGTGCGCTTTTGCAACCGCTATTACTTTCCATAACAGGCAGTCAGAGCTAGAGGTGAGGGGCTCATACTCCACACAGTACATCAGGGTGGCAGGGATTTTTACACTCAAGGCCTCCTTTCCTCAGCCAGCTTCAGCTCCAGGACCATGGCACAAAAGGCTCCCATTGACCCCACCAAGATGGGAGAGGGTCGGGCGATTGCGGTGTTGACCTCAGGAGGCGATGCCCAGGGTAAGTGGATGGTTTCCAGGGTGGTATGTGAGTGTGGAGTTGCCAGCGCAAGGCACGTCTGCTGTTTCTTTGCCTCAGCAGGTGGTTTAAAGGATGTGGTGTGTGGGGAGGTCACTACTTAGTAACTCAACAGCAGGATTTAATTATTTAGTATTTGAGATGTAAAGTAAATCAGAAACTTAGAAATCTAGAATCCAAAACTTGATGCATCTTGAAAAGTCATTGGTTGTCTTAGACAAGTACTGTAGTCTACATAGATCTCCATAGTTTAAGTGCATCATTTCCTTTTTGATGTTGTTAACAGTTTAAACATCGTTTTATATTAGGTAGCTATACCACTACAAATAACACATATCACTCATATACAATCATGAATGTTAGTAATTTTGACTATTCATAATCCTTTTCATTACTGATAGTAACAGTGACTTCTCTGTGGAAACAGAGCTATCATAGCTAACTAGCTCATAGAGCTAACTTATGGGAAAGGGCAGCATGAATTCCTTCACCTAAAGGTGCTATGACCACAGAGTGAGACATGCCTCTCCCCTGACCTTTAACTTCATGAGGATTATCTTCACTGTGACCTTTGGGAAGTACATCAGTGACCCCAACCCCGTGGTGTGAGAGTGTGACAGCTATCCAGTCTGTCTGTTTTTCTGTCTTTATGAACTTTATAAGACCTCTGGACAAGTGTGTGAATGCAAAACTGCACAGCTTGCTAACCCCCACCCTTCTTCTTCTTCTTCAACTTTCCAAAATACATAATCCTCATTACAACTGTACCTTTTTAGTCTTGATGTCCTTAAGTCCACGTTTCTTGCTCTTTCCCTTCCTCCTCTCTCTCTAAAATACTGTATCTCTTACGAGGACTAATTATAGAGACATGACCTTTCTGTCATGTGTTTGTAAAGCAGTGAGGTGGCCGTTCTTATCTCCCTTTCGCTCCCTCCTCTTTTACACTGTAAGTGGAGATGTTCTTGGCACCCTTAAAGCTAATCTATCCACATCTTGTCCTTTAAGCGACCCGTTGTGTATTGAGAGTGCAGACTGAGGCCCAGTTGCCTTTCATGGAATACAAGCTTGCCGCAATTGCTGACAATTTATAAGTTATAAACAATAAAATTACAGGTAAAGGAATTGGTCTGGTGTTCAGTAGCTGCAGCAGGTTAATGTAAAGGCCAAAAAAAGAAATACTAATATTATTCAAAGTATGAGTTCTGCAACATCCATGCACCATAGCATCAAGCAAATTGGAGGTTTAGAAGGACTATCAAATTATTCTATCTATTGGACTATCAACTATTCCTTGCTAACTTGTTTAAACTACACATACTTAGATGTAAAACTACCCAAAACCCACCTAAGTATAAGTTGCTCATTTAAATGTTATATATCGTCTTTATACCCATTTATAAATATTTATGAAATTGCAGAAACATGAGCACAAACTACTAAAATACAGTAAAAACAATAACAGTAACTTATTTCACAATCATTCTTTCCACCTGTGTGAGTGCTATCACAGGGTTTCTCATATAGTTATAAGATCTAACACTGTGCCTACAGGTATGAATGCAGCTGTGAGGGCCACAGTTCGAGTGGGACTTTACACTGGAGCCAAGGTGTATTTTGTCCATGAGGTAAATACTGCTTTTGAATTTTTAGTTTAGATTATTCAGTTAATTGTTTAATCTGTACAATGTTAAAACAAATAGAACATTCACTTACAATGCCCACCATTAAGTTCCCAGTTCTCCTGGTTAAATTGACTGTAAAATAAACAGAAAAGCTACACATACTCACAGCTGAGAAGCTGGAACCAGCAAATGGTTTCCATTTTTTCTAGAGAAATTACTTAATTGAGCAATTAATCAATTATGATATTTCCAGCACTTTTCCATGGACTAACACACAAGATCAGCCTTACCTATAAATAATCTGCAAATCCCAGTATAATTAACAAAACACGTGTTAGACTGAAATAGCTGCTTGTGCTGTTTTTTTGTTTGTTGACAGGGTTACCAGGGTCTGGTGGATGGAGGAGACAATATTCGCCCTGCTACTTGGGAGAGTGTGTCAATGATGCTACAGCTGGTGAGAACAAACACAAAGATGTAAAAGTATATTTAACTATATGTTTATTAATTCCACTCTGTTTTTAACTTGTGATCATCACAGTAAGGTGGGATGGATGCTCTGTGTAACTCTAGCAACTCCTTCGCCTCTAGAGTGCAGTTCTGTAGGTCAAATGGTCATTTAAATGCCAAAGTTCGTTAAATAGCCTTAGACATGAGCACTTAGGTTTCAGAGAATCCTCCCCCTTCTCCTTATCTGTCTCCCTGTGGTTCCTTTTTTGGTACTGAAACTCTTCCTCCTTGCCTGTCATCAGGGTGGGACTGTGATTGGTAGTGCCCGCTGTCAAGACTTCCGTACCAAAGAGGGACGCACCAAGGCCGCCTGCAACTTGGTCAAGCTGGGCATCACCAACCTGTGCGTGATTGGAGGTGACGGCAGTCTGACGGGTGCCAACCAGTTCAGAACAGAGTGGAGCGAGCTGCTGGCCGACCTGGTCAAAGCTGGTGAGAGGCATGAGCCCAAACTGTACTGTTCTAAGCAACAAAACCTCAAATCAAATGTCTCTTTCACACGTCTGCCCTTCAATGCTGATATTATGGCACAAGTTGCAGTTGGTTTAGGAATGTTGGTTGTGTTTAGGGGTACTATGACACAGGTTTCCCCGTGTCATGTTATGGTCAATTGCAGAGCTAAAGTAAGCCAGAGGTGACAGCCTCTCCAAAACACTAGGTCAGGTCTGTCTCTCCTCTCTGCCTGCTTGGTCGAATGACTGATGTAGCTGTCTTGAGACGGATGCACTGCTATCTGTAACCCAAAGTCGAGATTTATCTTTATTTTGTTTCATTACAGACAGACAGACTGGCATGTGGTTTAAGTTACTGTGTAAGTTAGCATCTTGATTTGAACCAATATCCAATAGACTCTTCACACATGTAAAGAGGGGTGAACAACAATCTCATTTAGACACTCATTTAGTGAATCTCTTTAGGTCTAGGAAGGACAAATATCCCTAAACAGGAAGTATCCTTCAGATTGGTGCTGGCATCGCATGTATTCACACTCAGATGCTGCCGCTGCATCTCCTCGACCGAGCTCAATAAACAAATACTTTGTAAGTCTTCATCAGTCTAGTCTTCTTCCCACCTGAACTTGGATCACTTTTTTTCATAACATTGGTTATTCATTGTAACATGATGTACTTTCTCATATAAAAGTCAATATTCAAATAACGGCAGAGTCACAAATAATAGTTAGGGACAGCATGCACAAATAAAGGCTGATTGGTAATAAAACATATAGTAAAATTTTGTATAATGTGAATGTGAATGTGAGTTGTGTCATACTCACCACTTTGCTGCTCTGAGTTTCTCTTTCTGAACTGATGGAACTAGTGCTGAGGAAATAGACATTACAATACTGAATGTGTGAAAACAAAAGGTAAACATGGAGGCTGCTGAGTTTGCATTAACTGGGGAACAGGGAAAATTTGAAATCCTTGGCCACTGTTTAAGAAGTGACTGAGAGTGTTGTATTTGTTTTAATCTGTGCTCAGGTAAGATCACCCCAAGTGAGGCCAAAGGTTCCTCCCATCTCAATATCGTTGGCATGGTGGGCTCCATTGACAATGACTTCTGTGGCACTGACATGACCATCGGCACGGACTCTGCGTTGCATCGCATCATAGAGATAGTGGATGCCATCACCACCACAGCACAGAGGTATGCATGGGACCATTCACGCAATTATTTTTGACAGACAGACCTGCCATGTTAGCATGAGACTTTTGACATGAAATGTGTTGTTCTGCAGTCACCAGAGGACCTTCATCCTGGAGGTAATGGGTAGGCACTGTGGGTGAGTACAACCTGCGTGTGTGTGCATTGTGAGCAAGAGTGGCATGGGGGTTCATTTATCTATGTGGAGGCACAGAATTTGGTACTGTAACTGGGTGGTTTCAGAGGCTTTTACATCCTACTGACAATTATTTTTATGACACAAGTCAATAATATGATGTGAAACACCAGCTTTGGATGCTTACTTAAAAAAGTTATCACTCAGTGTCAATTTTGCAAACGCCACTTGAACCCTTGCTTATGACTCTTTACCTACAGATACCTGGCTTTGGTGACAGCTCTGGCCTGTGGCGCTGACTGGGTGTTCATCCCAGAGATGCCCCCAGATGAGGGATGGGAGGAGCATCTGTGCAGAAGACTGACAGATGTAAAGGCCTTGCCCTGCATTGTCTTCAATGATTAATTTGACTGTGCTTGTTGATCTTAAAGGTTTTCTCTGTCCCTCTCAGCAAAGAAGCCGTGGCTCCCGTTTGAATATTATCATTGTTGCAGAGGGAGCGATGGACCGCAAAGGTAAACCTATCACATGTGACCAAATCAAACAGGTCAGTAATGGCAGAAATCCGGTATATCAGCACATGTCGGCTTTTCATATAAGACAGACTGCTTATAAAATCATAATCTCTCTCTGTCCAGCTGGTATCAAAGAAGCTAGGCTTTGACACCCGTGCCACCATCTTGGGCCATGTGCAGAGAGGAGGAACCCCTTCTGCCTTTGACAGAATCCTGGTAATACAACCACTGCCCCAAACATAAACATTTTTAAATATTAATAAACGTTTATCTTATTTATTGTTAACAATGTGAATAAACACAAGTGTACCTGCTTCTCTAAGTGTCTGCTTTTTGATTGTCATGATTCAGGCCAGCAGGATGGGTGTGGAAGCTGTAATGGCTCTGCTGGAGGCCACGCCAGACACTCCTGCGTGTGTTGTCAGCTTGTCTGGAAACATGGCTGTCAGGCTGCCCCTCATGGAGTGTGTGCAAGTGGTGAGTCAGATCTCTTCCATCTGCAAAACCAATCGAATGAACTAACGAATGAAGATGACTTGATGAGTTTTTTAGCTCTCCTAATGACCTAGATGAACACTATTTAGCACAATATGCTGATTCAACTCTTTTTTTTCCTTTTTGCCTTTTCACCTTCTGTCACATCAGACCAAAGATGTCACCATAGCCATGGCTGAAGGGAGGTTTGACGAAGCAGTGAAGCTCAGGGGAAAGTGAGGCATGCCCTTTTTTGTTATCTATTTGAAATTCTCAAGTGTTGTGTTTGAGTTTCAAGTGTCTGCACATCTCTGCTCATTTTCATGACAATAGGAGCTTTGAGAACAACTGGAATACTTACAAAATGCTGGCTCATGTGCACATCCCAGATAAAAAGGTCAGAAACTACATTTTTACTGTCTTATTGTGCATGAACTGTCTCAAAATCAATAAGTTCTGGTGGAAAATACAGTTATTCTGACTGACATCTCTGTGAATGTGCCCATGCCAGAGTAACATCAACATTGCCATATTGAACGTGGGAGCACCGTGTGCTGGAATGAACGCTGCAGTTCGTTCAGCTGTCAGGATCGGGCTCCTCCAGGGCCACCAGATGCTGGCAGTGCACGACGGCTTTGAGGGCTTGGCTCATGGAATGGTAAATTCTAGTTAAACATACAGAAATAAACAAGAAGGCTCTACCTGTCACAATAGTAAATCCGCTTTACAGTGTTAATGAATTGCCTACACATGCGAAGGAGCATGACGGAGCACACACTCTGTCCCTGCACAGATTGAGCCTATCGGTTGGTCTGGAGTGGCAGGATGGACTGGAAAGGGGGGCTCCATGCTGGGCACAAAGAGGTGGGATGTTAAAAAAACCCGTTATGTTGACTGGTACAGTAATATCAGTGAATGCCTCAGTGTTTTTAAGTGTACACTGGCAGTGTTGCTTTTATTTGATTCTTTTTTGCCCTTTTTATAAAGGTCCCTGCCACATGAGTTCATGGAGGAGATCAGTCTGAGCATCACTAAGTTCAACATTCATGCTATAGTCATTATAGGAGGCTTTGAGGTGAGCAGCTAAAATATTGAGGCTTTGCTAAAATAATCTTCCTGAGCACAGCCCTTACACTAAAACCCAGTGCGTAAATAATAGTGAAAGTAATTAAATTGATTTCTCCCCCTTCTTTTCCGTCTTCATTAGGCATTTGTTGGGGGTCTGGAGATGGTGCAGGCTAGAGAGAAATACGAGGAACTTTGTATTCCCCTTGTCGTTATTCCTGCTACTGTCTCCAACAATGTTCCTGGGTCTGACTTCAGTGTTGGCACTGATACTGCGCTTAACACCATAACCATGGTAAAATTCTTAAAGAATACAAAAAGACAATCCAAAAATGACATCTTACTCATTTCCTTCTTCTTCTTTCGCTTTCTTTTTCTCCTTTTCAGACATGCGACAGGATCAAACAATCTTCCGCTGGCACCAAGAGAAGAGTGTTTATTATTGAGACTATGGGAGGATACTGCGGCTACCTAGCAACCATGGCTGGCTTGGCATCTGGAGCTGACGCTGCTTACATTTATGAGGAGCCATTCAACATTCATGACCTAGAGGTCTGTCCGTATGAATGTATAAAAGAGAGGAAGCTAAGAGATGCCTTTAGTGAGAGATGGCTGGAGATTTTTTTACTCATTGGTCTGATGGTTGATTTGTTTGTAGGTGAATGTGGAACATCTGGTGGAAAAGATGAAGACCACAGTGAAGAGAGGACTGATTCTGAGGTTTATGGGAATTGGCCATTCTACATAGAATAAACTTTACAGCTCACTGTGGCTTCCTATCTCACCTAATTTTCTACTTTTGGTTTAGAAATGAGAATAGCAATCCCAACTACACCACAGACTTTATCTTCAACCTGTACTCAGAGGAGGGCAAGGGTGTGTTTGACTGCCGGAAGAATGTACTTGGACATATGCAGCAGGTGGGCCACTAGATGAACATGTTGTGCACAGACTCATTATATTTGCCCCCCAATTCAATTTCATATACGTTATGAAACACATCCTTTGTTATTAGGGGGGAACACCAAGTCCCTTCGACAGGAATTTTGGCACCAAGATGGGGATGAAGTCTGTGCTGTGGTTGACCAACAAGCTGAAGGAATGCTACAGACATGGTGAGGACATGCTGTAGACAGTTATTGTATGGTTACCTCCTGTGCTCCCAGTGCTAATATTGACTATGTTTTTAACCTCAAAACCTCCAGGTCGTATATTTGCCAACTCTACAGATTCAGCCTGTGTGCTGGGCATGAGGAAGAGATCTTTGGTCTTTCAGCCTCTGGCAGAACTTAAAGAACTCACTGACTTTGAGTAAGACTTCATTTCTATCCTGTCAATCTCTTTTCTTGTCGCTTATTCTCATCTGCATTGTTTAGTATTTACTCAAATTGCAAAGTTAGAGTTCGAGTGATCCAAACCAGGATTAAAACAAAAGTAAGCTAGTGAGGAGTCCAGTAAAATGCCCAATGCCCATATAGTTAGCTAAAGAGCTTAAACCAGCTTGTTGTGAGTTTACTTTGCCCCTAGTGGTCACAAATTTCTTGATCCAGTTTAATTAAAATCTTACATAAATTAATTGACTACTAGGTTTTCAAAATTTTGATCTTTTGTTTTCACTTTCCTCACTGACAAATGTTGTCCTACACAGACACCGTCTTCCAAAGATACAGTGGTGGCTGAAGTTGAGGCCCATCCTGAAAATCCTGGCCAAGTACAAGATCAGTCTGGACACCACTGAAAAGGCTTCGCTGGAACATGTCATCAAGAAGAGAGGCTTAGTTCCTCAGTAGCCTTTCTGTGTGATTGTCCTTGCCTTCGGAACCTGATTCATGATGACCTGACTTTTTTCTGTTAAAAGCACTTTATAAAGTCTGTCCCTGTAAAGTGCAGAACAAATAAATAATTAGAAGATAAAACAGATAATATTTATGTCACCAAAATCACAGCAAGTCTCACAATTAACAATCAAAAGCCACACAGATTATTCTTTTTACAGAAAACATTTACGCTGTGCTGTGAGGTACAAACTGAAGGTATTTGTGTGATGTAGTCTATTTTAGAGCTGTCTCCATTCACAGAAGCTTGTGTTTCCACGCCACTGCAGCTGCTGGACACCACTAAAAACTGTGGTGTTGGTCTGTCTTGTCTGTGCACCTCAACTCTACTTTCTGTCCCTCTATCTTTGTCTCAAATATAAATTAAATACACATTTCCAATTACCATCTTTTTTTCCATTTCGATTTCCTGTCAACTATACACACTTTTTAAGAGAAATCAGGGATCTCATCAAGCAGTGTGTCCTGAAGTGCCGATCCGTTGGATGGTAAATCATTTTTTATCAGAATTCCATTTCGAGGAAATTGACTTGGGTCCAAATTTGCTCAGGCATTGGCATTAGAAATCATTGCAAATTGATAAATACTTGGACCCTATTCTTTGTATGTGAATAAATGAATTAGAATGGTTTGAGGGATTTTCTTACAAAACAAAAGATTATTGTTCTGCTTAATTTCACTAACTCTTTTCATCAACTCATGGAGCTCTGCATGCTGTAAGAATCTGCTTGTATAGCCTATCTATTTGGATTCAGCTCATTTGTGGATAGGGCTGCTACCTGACACCCAGAGAGCAACCCCCTGCCTGAGTTGGATCTTTACCTGTCTTCCAGCATGCGGCTTCTAAATCATTCTGAAGCTACTAGATGTGTGACTGTTTTAAATAAATAGCTCAGATTAAAGCACACAGCACCGTTCTTGTCTGTGACCTCCCTTTACCCTCTGTTCTGTCTTTTTGTTTAACTGTTCCCTGTGCCTTTATCATCCACAGGCCTAGTAAATAGTACTTACAGTAATGGATCAGAACTTGAGATGGCAGTAGGGATTCCACCAAAATGGAAATCTGTAAAAGCTTGTTATGTGGCTAATGAAAAAACACACCACTAATAATAAAATTCCTTGAGCTTTGGGATGGGAAGTTTAAACTTGCTTCAAACACTACATTTCTGCAGAGGCCCAAGTGAGGAAGTGTGGACCTGTGCCCTCTAGTGGATATGTTCCAAAGAGAAATGTTTATTCATCACTTTCCCCCAATTCGTCTTTGCAAAACTGTTTTCTGTCGTGTGTCATGGGGACTATGAGCGAACAGCAATTTTCAAATCCTGCCACTAAATTTTGATTTGCATTGACGTTTGCACTTTGACCTGTCTATACAAGGACATTAACATTGTTGTTTTGAGTTTGGTTTCACATTTGGGACTGATATCTTGCTGAAAAAACAGAATAATCTCCCAACTTATTTTGCTTTTTACTCTTGGGCAATACCTAAATTGTTATTAAACACAATATTTTAAAATGTCTGGTATAACTATAATGTATAGTGCTCCGTGGGTGACTCATTATTCAATCGGAGAATCAAGCAGATTTTATTGTGGGTTGAAGTGCCAGCGTGTAAGTGGCAATTGAACAGTATGATTATAATGATTAAGTATGGCAGGAAGTGTATAGTGGAAACAGTCTACAGTAGACTCCAAATCTCCAAGAACAAGCACTTCCCTTTGTTACAACCCCTTACTACAGAATTTACTATTTACTACGACTGAAATAATACTGTCCAGGCCATTTTTCAGTCAATCTCAAAATCAACAAAAACATTTAGCGCCTACCTCACTTGGATGGACAGGGGAACTTTTAAAAACTTTACATGGTAAGGAAAGTAAGTTTCAGGGATATATTTTGTGTAGCCATGGTTTGATAAAATACAAATGCACATTAATGCCATTTATTCATACAGACTAGTGAATGTTACTACTTCTCTTCTGGTCTGGCAGTCGTTTGATAATAAAACTACAATACCCATATGTCCTTCCATTTCCGGGTAAAAGCGGATGTGCTGTCTGATTGGTTAGCGAACACCTTTCAAAAAACAGCGCGGGGGTGGGGGCAGTTTCTAAGATTGTTGAAGATAAGTTTAGCAGAAAACTGCTGCTTAGTCGTGTTATCATGCACAGCAAGTCTGCTTTTTACCTGCCGTGAATAAAAGTGTTGCAACAAAGGTCTCTGAAGTAAGTCCCAGTTCACTCTCCTGGTTAAGTTAGCAAACGTTAACGTTGGTTGAAGTGTCAACGTTTTGGCTAACGTTAGCATATGTGGTTGTCGAAATTTAATATTAACATTATATATTGACTTTCTCTCAACTAACGCGTTTTCTACAGCTGTCGACATGAAGTGTTTGAAGGTGGATGAGTATATCAAGCGGACGGCTTCTGTGAAAGAGACGGAGCTTTTACTTCAAGAACTAGAGGTTGGCATGTTTATGTGGTTCTTCCCATCAGTCTCTTAGGATGAGTTACCCCTGTCCGTAATTACGTTACTACTTAATATTATCTTACTAGTGAACATACTTTGACTTAAATAACACAAATCCAGGATTAACTGCCTCAAAATGAGCCCAGTTCCATATGCTGTGCTATACTTTGACATGTTTTATGTTTAAAATACAAAACACATTAGTTAACTATAAATCTCACTTTTCTTACCTTGTAGAATTATGTGAAGAGTCAGCCAGGCCTTCAGGGTCGCACACTGTGTGACAGGGTCATCAGAGCCTGTAACCATCAACTTGGAGTTGGATCTCCTGACTTCGACCATGTCGATCAGTTGGTACAGCTGGTGGAGCTTTCCATTCATGGCTATGATATATCTGCAGCGCTTGTTGCTCAGAGCAGTCCACTGTACATGGAAAAGATCATTTTCCATATTGTGAAGAAGCTAAGCTCCCTAGGAGCTCACAGTCTATGCAGCCGTGTAGCAGTGTTGCTTTGCAGCAGGCTTAGCCCAGCCCAGCAGGTATGTATCACTTATTGTTTTTGTTTTTTTACATAAACATGTGTGGTATATCCCACATCTATACTGCATGATTGCTTTTTCCCTGTTAGCATTAACATGATTAACACTGTTGTATGGTCCATAGGCTGAGGACTACTGTGTTCTTGTGCGTAGCTGCTTCTCAGTTCTCTGGAGCGGACTGTCTGGCACCAAAGACAAGAAAATCCTGGATCCCCGTGACAAACTCTGCTGTCAGATTCAAGCTCTGAGCTTTCTCCTGTTGTTGGACACACAAAATGCAACTCCCTCGATATCCAAAGCTCCCATATACACAGAGGATGCCATCACAGAGTTTGAGAGTAGCTGTGGATCCATAACCAAGGATGATGCTTCTTTTCTTCTCCAGGAAATACACACTCTTTTCAACAGATTCTGGCCTGGTGTTCGAGGGAGTGAGGGGGATGGGTCCAAGCAGTCTACTGAGACATCAAATTTATACATGCTTGCCGAAATGGTGCTAATTATAACGAAGTTGCTTTGTAAGGCTGGCCACTATGATTTGGCCTCTAACTTTTTGAATGAAATTGAAAGCAAGGTCAGCTGTATGGCAGTGGTGCTCGGCAAATGGGCAGTAAAAATTCATTCTGCAATGACAGCTGGTGGGGAGAGTGGCCAGGCTTTGACAAAGTGTGCCAGGGCCTTGAGGTCTCTTTCAGCTGACCTGGGACACCGAGAAGCTCATGCTGTTCTGGAAGGTTGCGGACTAGTGGTGTGGGCTGTCGAAAGTGGCCACAGCAAGGGATTAAGTGGATCTGTGCTCCTGGCTTGGTTTTCTTTTCTTGAGGAGTACCAAGAACGGATATTAACTGTGCTGAAGAAGGTGAGTCTTGTTACTGCCCAGGAGAAAGAGTTTGTATGTGTGTGTTAGAAAAAAGAGCAGGGAAATCATTCTGTAAAATCAAGCGTGTTGGAGTAGATTTTTATCACTTGCCGTGAAAAGGGTATTTAAAGGTTAAGTTATTTGTCTTGAGAGTTCATACAGATTGCTAATCTTTGGTTTGCTTTCTTGACAGAATTCAACATGCCAGGCTGAGGGCAGCAGACTGCAACAGGCTCTTTGCGTCAGTATTTACCAAGGCTTTGTATTTGCTTATGAGAGCATGCTCGCATCACAGGTGAGGCTGCTTCCAATTTCATGATGATAGAAATGACAAAAACATAAATAAAGACAGATGAATTGCACTGTTCCAACATGTAGCTACAGTTCTACATGTACTCTAATTTAGGTACTGATTAGTTTTAGTACTGATTGTGACTTTTTGCTCTCAGCTGGAGAACAGTGACACATTGGACAGAGTGCTGCTTTACTGCCAAGCCACAGCTGGACTGATGACTGAACTGCGTAAACTGTCTAGTGAAAACCTTCTCATCAAAGCAGGTGATTACAATCGACATCGTTAATGTTGTCAAGTCACGTGAAAGCTTACTTACATTGCAAAAAATAGACACATAATATTTTATTATTATGACATTTTGTGATTACCATGTCTCTTGTAGTGATTGCTGTGAGCAACTTAGCTTGTGGATTGTACAACCGGCGTCTCTATGACCAGGCCTTCACGCTAGTTGAGATCCTCTGCAGGGATCTATGCAAGAATTGCCCTGTCTCTCTCTCTGTTGATAGGGTAAGCTCTTTAAGTGTGATTTTTTTGATCATGCATCACACTGTATCATCTTAAAGATGTTAAAAAATACACAATTTGTCTTCTCTTTGTAGACTTGGGGGTCGGCATTAATAAGATTATATCCTTATTTTAAATAGGTTATGTTAGATAGAGCACCCTTAATTTATCCTTGTGGAAATGTGTTATTATATACAGTATATTAATTTTAGCAGTCATCTGTATTATTATGTATTTTGACTACCTAGCTGAGCCGACCCTTCATGCTGGCTGTGCAGACATCTCGGCGGGCTGGACAACTAGAGCGAGCGCTGGACTGGGTGATCCTGTGGCTGAAGGCTTTGGGAGACAAAATAACTACTCATATGGCCGAACCGGTCTCTCTGTGGGTGAAAACGAAGACTGACGCAGCCCGTAACTCTGAGGAAGACATTCGACTCAGGTACAGACAAGTTCTAATCAATGGGCTTTTTATATTAAACTTTATTCATAGAGCACTTATCAAAACCAAGTACAAAGTGCTTCACACAGACAGAGGAGTGAATGATAAAATACATGTGGACCAAAAAAAAAGGTAAAACAATTACAAGAAAATGAAAACCAATAAAATAAACATAGCCCAGATAAAATCAGGATATGCTTTCCGATAAAATTGCTTTTCTAGAAGGAGACACTGACTCTGACAGCCTAATATCCTTGCGCAGGTCGTTGTAGAGTCTCTGGGCCCTGACAGCAAAAGCTCTGTCCCCTTTAGTTTATTTTAATTTTTGTTTTTCAGAGAAGGGTATCATGGGAATGGAAATGGGAACTTAGAACTGTTGGCTTGTCCCATCCTTGAACAGGACATTACATGATGGTTTTGGTCCTGACGTTCCTGATGAAAAAGTAATGCTTTGCCTTTTGGAAGAGGAGCTTCGTGCCTATAAGGAGGTGGCAGGGGACACTGCTCAGGAGCGTTACAACACTCTGTGTGATCTATTGGACATCTGCCACGAGGAGAGCTCCCACACCCATCTGCGTGCGGTCTACCTCTGTGAAATGGCCCAAGTTGTGTGTTACCAAGATTTCAGTGAACAGACTGACTGGTAGGAGGTTTTATTTACATCATCATTTCTAATGAGTGGCGTTCCTTGAAAAATACAAATACACTGTTTTGTGTTTGTGTGGTAGAAAATGTTGTTGGTACCGGGGGCCAGCAATTAAAATAGTTAGTCTGGAGCCCTGCTGGACCATCATA